CCCATTTCTGAAGAAGGGTCCCGACCCAAAACGTCAACTTTCCTACTCATCTGATGCTGCCTGGCTTGCTGTGTTCCTCCAGCTCCACACTGTGTTGTCTATGAATGTCTTTTATCCTGCTTCTCCATTCAATAAAGTCATGGCAGAAGTGTCAAAATACCTTTTTCCCTTTAGTTGCACAGTTGAAAAGGTTATAATACTACTAGTAGAGGAAAGACTATAGATTAAAGGGGAAGAGTTTTACAAGGACTAATATAAATAATTGAGAAATGTAATGGGTAAAACAATAGGAATGAGGTCAAAATAACAGGATGGACATTAAATTGCTGGGCTCAGATAGTTTCTATCTGAGTGTATAAAAGAAGTGCGTAAATTTGGAAGCTGTTATCATCTTGTGGAATGAAAAAGAAAATTCTGAGGAGGAATTGAAAATGAAAAACACTGGAGATCACAGCAGATCAGACAGTATCCACGGAGAGAAGAGATAACACAGTGTGGAGCTGGAGGAACACAGCAGGTCAGGCAACATCAAAGGAGTAGGAAAGTTGATGTTTCGGGTCAGGGCCCTTCTTCAGAAATGGGTCTGAAGAAGGGTCCCGACCCAAAACATCAACTTTCCTATTCATCTGATGCTACCTGGCCTGCTGTGTTCCTCCAGCTACACACTGTGTTATCACTGACTCCAGCATCGACAGTTCTTACTGTCTCATCCATGGAGAGAAGACAAGCTAACATTTCAAATTGAGATGACTCTTCATCAGAGCTGACGTGAAGTGTAGAGGAGGTAGCATCTGTGCAATAGTTTTGGCGGGGCGGGGGGAGGTTGGAGAGTGCTGGGGGAGAAAGGATGTTGATAGTTCAGATTAAGTGATCAGAATGTGAGAATGGCAGAACAACGGTGTGACTAACTGCCAGACTGGAAGGAACAGACAGTCCCACTGGGGTGAGGAGGGGAGAAAGGACATGGTGACAGAGAATGTAACAAGTAAAGCTAAAAGAAAGGGAAGGAATGGGAGTAGGTTCACAATTTGAAGGTGTTGAACTCAATATTAAGTCCAGAAGGTTATAAAGTTTGAGATAAGACAAATTGGTCAAAGAGCAACAAACTGCAAAAGGCAATTTATGGAGGCAGCATGAGGCAGTTCATTGGACATGGGAATAGCAGATGGGAGTGTAAACTAAATAGGGAAGTAGGACACGAGTAAATTAGTAAAAGCATTTAGGAATTCAGATCAATATGTACATAGCTCATTGGTGCTAAAAGTGATCAGAAAAATAAATGAAATGCCGTGTTTAATCAGAAAACATTTTGTAAATAGACTATGAATTTATCATGTGAATGTTGGATTCTTTTGGATTTGTCAATGCATTGTGCCTTTTGCAACTTAGCAAAAGCTTCAGAACAACTATTTCCTTCTGCAGTCCCCATGACAATGCCTTGGCCAATCAGAATTAACTTGCCTGTTTGGAATTTAAACAAAGGTTAGGGGTTAACTGTTCCCTGATGCATTCATAATGTAACAGCTCAACAAAACAGAATTTGTTTGCTAACCAATCAGCACATTTCTTCATGCAGTAAAAATGGTCATTCCTTCTGAAATTTGGTATTCTTACAAATCTGTCCTCTGAAAGATGAAAAGCTTCAACATGTCCCTTTTTACTCAGCAATACTCTTTTGGAATATTGATTTTAGTCTTAAAATGCTAAGCTGTCCTGGAAAATATATAATTCACAGTCTGAATCCTGGATAAAGGGTTGAGTAAATGCAGATCTTATTACTTAGACTTGAGAAATTTAAAAAGAGTGAAACATTAACTCTCCTTCTCTCTTCACACAAGTGGTCTGACCTTTTGAAATATTTCCAGTATTTTCTGTGTTGTTTAAGAGTAAAAGTTTAAAATAACTGGTGGGAATTGACAGATTGTTAGCGAATGACACTTGTTTCTAGAATCAAGATCCCCAGAATAAGGAAACATAACTTTAGAATAAGATAATTAAAAGCAAATCCCAGGAAAGAAAACAGAGTCATAGAGATATACAGCATGGAAACAGACCTTTCGGTCCAACTCATCCATGGTGACCAGATATCCTAAATTAATCTAGTTCCATTTGCCGCATTTGGCCCATATCCCTCTAAACCCTTCCAATTCATATACCCATCCAGATGTCTTATAAATGTTGTAATCATACCAGCCTCTACCACTTCCTCTGGCAGCTCATTCCATACACACACCACCCTCTGCATGAAAAAGTTGCCCCTTAGGTCTCTTTTATATCTTTTTCCTCTCACCTTAAATATATGCCCTCTAGTTTTGGGCTCCCCTAAATTATCCACGCCCCTCATGATTTTATAACCTTCTATAAGGTCACCCCTCAGCCTCCGACACTCCAGGGAAAATAGCCCCAGCCTATTCAGCCTTTCCCTATTGCTCAAACCCTCCAACCCTGGCAACGTCCTTGTAAATCTTTTCTGAACCCTTTCTGGTTTCACAACATACATCCTATAGGAGGGAGACCAGAATTGCATACAATGTCCTGTACAGCTGCAACATGACCTCCCAACTCCTATACTCAATGCACTGACCAATAAAGGCAAGCATACCAAATGCCTTCTTAACTATCCTATCTACTTGCGACTCCACTTTTAAGGAACTATGAACCATTTTTGTTTATTTAAATAGACTTATGGAGATCAGTTAGGTTTGTATTTTTTTTTAAAATTCACATGTAAAATGCAAAATTATTAGATCATATCTTGCTGTTCTGATGCAAAATTCACCCACTAAAGATTAAGTATCATGGTACCTTCATTGTTCCAAACAATTCATCTTTAATGTGTCCTCCACCAAACTCCTTTTTCACAGTGGCTCGTGTTGCTGCATACAGCATCTTCTGTCTGACCTGTGTAAAACACAAAGGGTTAGAGTTTATATACACAACATGAAAAAGGAATCAGGGAATGCAGATTTTCTTAGTGGAAGTTAACTATTTTAAGTGAAAAGTTGAAACTCTCCTCCTCACAAAAACAAATTAGCAAGCTGAACAATTGGCAATCATGAAGACTTTTATGCATTGCTGCCATCATAGAATCCCTACGGTGTGGAAGCTGACCATTTAGCCCATCAAGTCCACACTGAGCCTGCAAAGAGTATCCCACCCAGACGCGACCACCTACACTATCCCTGTAACCCTGCATTTCCCGTGGCTATTCCACTCAACCTACACATGCCTGGATGCTATGGGGCAATTTACCATGGCCAATCCATCTAACCTGCATATCTTTGGAGCACCTGGAGGAAAGCCATGCAGGCAGGTGGGAATACGCAAACTCTACACAGACAGTTGCCGAGGGTGGAATCAAACCTGGGTCCCTGGCGCTGTGAGGCCTTATTTCTTATGGTATGACCTTCATTAGGAATTCTTATCATTAGGTAAGAATTCAGAATATATCAAACTAAAACTTACCATCTTTATTGTTTTTGGTTTTTTTTGCCAAAAAAGCCTTTTGGATAGAAGTTACATATTGGACAGGACTTATTGGACTTAACTTACATTAAATTAAATTACACAGTTCAAACATAAATAGTCATAGTCTCTGCATAAATAAACTGATGATCAAGGAACCTCAACAGAAAACTGAGTTCAGTAGCTTCCACCTGGCCAACTGCATGTCATTAGCAATCAAAGTTTGAGTACATCCACAGACAAACATATTTTTTACTGTAGAGAGAGAGGACATTACATGGAAGCATGTTAATAATACCTCTATTTTATCTCAACAATTAAATAATAGAAGGAGCACTCTGTCTACATCACCGACCAGATGAGTACAAATCCTGTTCCACCCAGTGGGATCATGGCTGATCTGCGACCTGACTTTTGATACAGATGAACTTTGACTTATATTCATTTATTAACAAAAATCTATCAACCTCAGATTTAAAGTCAATAATTGATTATCAACTGCTGTTTGCAGAAGATAATTCCAAACCCCTAACACCTGTGTGTACAGATACTTCTTAATTTCACTCCTTAAATGCATGACTCTAATTTTTAGATGACTAAAAATAAAAGTCAGGAAAAAAATCTCCAGTTATTATAAATTTTAAATAGCCATGGGAAGATTGGTTGTGAAAAATAAATTTGTATGCAATGCACTGCACTTTTCAAAGTTTCACATAAAAAGTACAAACGCAAAGGATGACATCTTGCTCTTTTTGGTGTGATATTCATCCATTAAAAACAAAATATCAAGGTACACCGATGTCCTAATCCTAGGTTCCGCAAATAGCAGAAATAGTTTATCTACATCGACCTTTTGTTTTCCACTTCACAATATTTTTACATCATGCCTTTATATGAATTTTGGAATGGCCTAAAATCCATATTTTAAAAAGTTGTGCTAGTACAAAACCAAACATAGATGTTTCTCATTGAATCTAAAACAGTCCACTCTTGGACCATTTGTAGTTTATGATATCACTCACTTGGATGCATGTTATAAACCATGCTTCTAGGATCCACTATGCATTCCTTTTCAATTGTCTCCCTGGACTTGTCCTTCTCAAGGCTGTTGTATCTGTGATACTGTGAAATAGACAGCGATTCTTTGGCAATGTGATTGTATTAAGAGTATTAAGTAAAGGACCTTGGGGCCTTTAAAACGAACCCAATGCTATCTCTGGCAATCACACAAGCAAGCTTGCAGTGCAAGTCACTGAACAGCAATCAGCCACACAGATCTTTTCCACTCAGCCCTTTTCTGGATTGTATGAGTCAGTGTCACATCCAAAGTGCAGTTAACTATTGTGCTACTGGACTGCATAGTAGAAACAATTTTATATCAGAATTTAGTGTAGGTAAGGAAACCTTTACTATACAGTTAGAATCAACTACTTACATCATATGATGCCACAGCAGCACTGCTAAACAAAATATAAAACCCAACCACATATACTAATATTAGTTAATCAAAGAGGTAAAGTTTTGATGTCTTAAAGGAGATAGAGGTACAGGAACAGAAAGGTTTAGCGAGGAAATTCCAGGGCTTAGAGCCAAGGTAGCTGAAAGCACAATCACCAATAACAAAAATAAATTAATAAAATACAAAGTTCCCTGTAGTGAGTTTAAATTTTTGCAACAATTTAAAGGCACAAGGTTGATTTCAAAAAGCAATGCTCTTTTCAAGGGTAAATAACATTATATATTGTTACGGCATGCAATTTTATCTGCACATATTGTATTTATGGGTATACAAGGCTACAAGACAATGGACCAAGTATTGGAAAGTGGGATGTCAAATTTACATGGCTGTTTTTTTGACGTAATGTTTTCAGTGTTGTAGAATTAGAATTAGCTTTATTGTCACACGTACTGATATGAGTATAATGAAAAGTTTACGTCGACACTTACAGCGCCATCTTGGGTACAAAAGTAGAAAATCATAGGAATAAATAAGAAAAGTAAAGAAACATAAAGTTCAGAATAACAGTCCTTCCAATCCAATCTGCACCACGTAGCCTCCAGACCACGGTGGGTCTTGCCTCCAGACTGTGTTGGGCTTCACCTTGAGGATTTCAAGGCCAGGAGTCTGCTCCAGATTTACCTCGAGGCTGGGAATCTGTGCTGAGGCCAGGAGTCCATGAATGACTTCACTCGAGACTCAAGAACAGGAAGTAAGAAGACAGAAGAGAATAAAAAACAACTTGAAAAGAGAAATAAAAGAAAAGAAATGGAAGGAGCGGATGAGCTCCGGCTGAGGAATTCTACTCGGGCAATTTGTGACTATTGCACTGCATTTTAATCATGTAGCATGGTTTTGCAGTGCTAAAAGAAACATGATACACCAAACAGAAATGCTAATACCGTTTCCAACAACATTCTGTATGAGTGCCAGACCTACATCAGAGGGACAATTTAACTGCAATCGCCTATTACTCCAAACTTTGGTTGTTGCAACCTGTTGACAAGTCCTGTCTGCAGGTGGCAGCAGTTAGTCATTAACAGGCAAAACTCTAAAATGGCACTGTTTGTGACGATTTCCATTCTTGTGGATAATACTTTGTTCCTTTCCAGGATTACTGCCAGTGCTTTGTGTTTTCTGCTCTGACCATATTGGCCCAATGCAAGAATGTAGGATTACAGCCATGATTTTCTTATATGGTGATTTCTGATTTCAGCCATGGAGTGAGTAAATGTTAAAATTAGGAGGCCCAGAGATTTAGAATATTAACCCTGGTAACTGGTAACGGTGAAAAATATATTTCAAAAATATTTCAGCATTGCTTTTTTCAAGCCCTTGTTCATAAAGTGAATTCCTTAAACAGTTTTTAAGAAAAGTACTATTTGACCTTCGTTAAACCGGAAAAAAATAATTGTCATCAGATAATCAGTGAACTCAATCTATAATGTAACAACTGTGTACACCTCTCATGTCACAAGGTTTCTTGCAAGACAACTTTCCATGATGACTATATATCTTCAAAGTCCTTATTTGAAACAATTAACATTGTTGGGGCGAGGTCTCATTAAGAGGAAACAGATTGGGAATTGCTGTGCATTAGAGCTGAAAGTTATGCTTTCATTGGTGCTTTTAAGAGCTTAGAATCAGCAGAATTCACTTTCCAATCCAACAGGCTTTAAAACAAAACTCAGCAGATTTTATTGTCAACCTGTTGACCCTTTGAAGAGCATTCCACCCAGATCCACTCCCACCCCCCAACCTATCCCTCTAGCCCTGCATTTCCCATGGCTAACCTGCCTACACTATGGGCAATTTAGCATGGCCAATCCACCTAACCTGCATATTTTTGGACTGTGGGAGGAAACCGGCAACCCGGAGGAAACCCACACAGACACAGGGAGGATGTGCAAACTTCACACAGACAGTCACCTGAGGGTGGAATCAAATCTGGGTTCCTGGCACTCTGAGGCTGCGTGCTAACCACTGAGCCAGTATGTCTACCTCTTCCCACCATGTCATAAGCGAAGCATTTGACAACTTTGGGTTTGGACTCAATTGGGTCAGAACGTTAAGGGGGTTGTCACTGAAACTTATGCAAAACTGAGAGGCCTGGATAGAGTGGAATTGGAGAAGATGTTTCCACTAGTATGAGAGGTTAGGGCACAAGGACAAAGCCTCAGAGTGAAGGCCTTCAGGAACTGAGATGAGGAGGAATTTCATCAGCCAGAGCATGGTGAATCTGTGGAACTCATGGCTGCAGAAGACTATGAAGGCCAATTCATTGAGTATCTTTAAGACAGAGACAGATAGGTCCTTGATTAGTAAGGGGATCAAGGGTTATGGTGAGAAAGCAGAAGAATGGGGTTGAGAAGCATATCCGCTATGATCGAATGGCAAAGCAGACTCCTTGGGCCAAATGGTCTAATTTTGCTCCCACATCTATGGTCTTATAGACTTTAACTGCTCATGTGATGATAACAAAAACTCCATGTCCCAGCAACCAAAGAAGAATCATTGTTCATTGCTATGCTGCTCTCGGATTGCTGCCACTGTGAATGTATTCTTAATATGCCCAAACTTCTCCCTGTTTTTCAATGCATCCTGTCTTTTGTTTCCTGCAGGTACTAGTGCCATTTGCTCGGTCTCAATGGCTAAGACAGCAATCCTGCAAGACATCATCTCTTCCACCTCTGAGGAAGGAGCCACAGAACCCTCAGTGGATGCACTAGCAAGGCTAACTCCTGCACCCTCTGCCAGCTCAGACACTAACACCCTGCTGGGTATTTTTGCTAGATGGCAGTTGGGATCATATACTTGCAGCTGGCTGGGGAAGAAACACCTCAGGTTTCTGGCACTCGGAGGACTGCTGGAGACCAGGCACCTGCTCAGTTCCCTGGTGCTGGCAATTCAGAACTTCATTGAAATGCACAAGCAGGCACAGGAGCTGCAGGCAGGTTTGTTGGAAGCAATGGGCAATCTGACTCAGGTTGGAGAACTCTAACCCGCTGTTTACAACCTGCTCCCTTCGGCATGCAAACAGTTGGCTGCTTTCATGGACAGGTTGGCAGCTGAAAATTCCACCATGTACTTTAATTTACTGGAGCCTTGTGGCCAATTTGGATATACATATACATAACACTTTTGGTGCAAATTTTTAAAGAGAAAAAAAATCACATTTGTAACTTAGAAGTTTAATTCACCATGAAAATGTCTATTATTTTAAACCTGTCCAAGAGTAGAGGAACGAAGGATTGATCAAACATTATGGAGAGTTTGCAAATCTCAGTTTCACTGCTACAGAGGGATTATTGAGAGGAGGCCAAGTGATTCCCATTAGCAAAGGAAAATATGAATCAGTCTGCTCCTTGTGCAGTATCAACTCCTCGTGTAGTATCAGGAGAGTCATGGAAGCAACCTGCCTTCTGTTCTCTACATCTCACAAAATTCAAACTGTGATAAAATGAGGAGAACATAAGGATTACGTTCTGTGGATCAGGATAATGTCCAAACCGAAGCATTTTTCTTAACCGCATTTACTGATACTGACGATTTGAATGAAAACAAACCCCTTGTTGGGAAATATGTTTCCTTTACTACTTCATTTTCTACTGTCTTTAGACATTTGTCTGTTGTTAAATTGCAATATGTTAAATGTAGATCAGCTGAAAGCTCACATTTATTTTCTCAGCAGAAAAGAGGCATTGGTTAGTCTCTAGCAACTTCCTGCTCCATCCATCAAGCATAACTGGAAGCTAACAGATAAGGGCCTACAATGTTGCTGATATTTATTTGATATGCAGTGTTTCTCCTGTGGACTTCACACTGGAGTTCAAACAACTTTTTTTGAGGAAAAGGTGCGGCCATTACTTTCAGAAAACAACTGATTACACGGTTCAAGAAAAGCAATTAAAAATTAACGCACAGCCATTCCTGAAATTTAAGGCAATTTGCCCGGAACATGTGAAGCAGGAAACAAAAACTGAAATCTGTAGTCAGCAAGTATAAGGAAGCATGGCTTGATATTTTTACATTTAACTTTTTAAAAAAAAGTTATGACCCTGTATATCTGCACCTACATACCATTGAGAGTTTAAATTGGGGATTTGCTTTGTGAGGTATTATTGCAAATGTTCTCCATGCCAAAAGAGAGCAAGCCTGTCAACCTTCCGACAGAGACACAAGCAATTTACATTATAATCTGGGAAGTTGTACTATAGAGCAAGTCATGTTGCCCCTTCTGGCTGAGTGCGATTGACTGAGTCGCTTCTCTGGTCTGTACATTCTAAACCCTCTCGAAGTGGTAATGAACAGAACAGTCAATTTGCAGCATTGATTTGGGTTTGGAAATTGTGTGTTTTGCTTAATATGGACAGACTGTAGTGAGGACAGCACTGCACACATTCCAGCAGGCCAATCACCAGCATGGTCCAGTCCCACTCCTGTGTTCCTTCTTGGGTTCTCTGCATAACTAGGGCAAAAAGGCTCACCTAACTGTCACCCCACTTTCAACATTTACTCGCTCCACCAGGGATTGGTGGCAGTAGTGTGCATTATTTACAGGGCTACTTGGGCACCATCTTACGAATCCTTGACCTCCGTAACAGGGCAGCAGATACTTGGGAACACCACTGTCCCCTCCAAGCCACACATCATCCTGACTTGAAACTTTCTCGCTGTTCCTTCATTGTTGCTAGATCAAAATCCTGGGACTCTTTTCCTTATAGGACTGCGAGTGTTCCTACACCACATAGGCTGCAGCAGTTCAAGAAGGTGGCTCAACATCACCTTCTTACGGACAATTAGGAAAGGGCAATAAATTCTGTATTAACCAGCCGTGCTCAAATCCCATGAATGAATTATAGAAAGGACACCTAACCTGAATTAAAATCTAACACCTTGTTTCTTTTGGGATGCCCGGTGGGTGAGTGCGTACCTTACATGTAGCATATAAATTTACTTGTTTCAGATGTCGAGGTGGCATCTCTTAGTTGGTGATAAAAAAGGAACTTTAATAATTGAGGTGTGCAGTATCTTATACTATGTAACTGCACTCACTTCCAATAAGGGTCAAGTGCATTCATGGATCAAAAATACTCCCTGAGACACAGCTTAGCTGCACAAGATCTGATTTAGATTTCTTGTGTAGTTGAGGTAGTCAAAAATTATTGAGAAAATGCACACCTATGCCCTGCTTGGCATATATTTTCAACTTTCATGATCAATTTCAGAAAGCAGAAATAAAAACAAACTATTCAAAGCACAGGTTTCTTGTAAAATATTTTCAAATTGGCTCATATTCTAAAACAGCAAATGGTCTCCTTCAAAAACTTTGAAGTAGAGTCCCTCTGTTAGTTAGTGACACCAGAAAGGTGCTTCATTGATTGCTGTGTAAATCCTTTCAAGTAGTTTTTAATATTTAAAAAATAGATACAAATAATGGGTCAATGATCATAGGTGGACTGCTGATGTGTCTTCATTGCTTTTTATAATGAACTTGTTAGTATTCTTAATATTATTTGTGTTAAATAAAAATCGTGCACAACTTACTGGGGAATGATCAGGTGACCAGGAAATGAAGAGCCATTCATAGCCCTGTGCATTTTGGCTATCGAGGCGATAAAGGATATAGCATGGCTGCATGTCCTCCAGCAGGGGAAGGATGAAATTATCGTAGTCCCTGTCCCATGCCTGTAATGGCTCCTTGTACATCCCCAACACTAACTGCTCTAGAAGAGAATTAAACACACAGTTAATTTCACATTTCAAAATGAGATCTTTTTTAGTTTGCACCAGTATTAATAGCAGGGTGGGGAGAACTATAGCCCAACAATTCCTAGTTTACATTTTCTTTTAATATAAATTGCAGACACAGGTGAGTAGCATAGAAATGCTCAGGATGCTGTTACTGTGACATGGTATAGATATCTTTAACAACTTAATTATAGATTGATAGCTCTCACTGTTAAAGAAAACAAAGTGTTAAATGATAAAATAAGAAAGGCATCTGTAACATCACGGTCACAAAATCAAGTGGTGAGCAGGAAGGAGCACTTCTTGACAGGGTAGGATGGTGGGAGATAATATCACAGCTTGAGTAAATCTAGAGCCATTTGCCTCACTGTCACTGGTGATAGAAGTCTGGCAGATGATGCACAGCTGGGTTATCAAGCAACCCCTGATGTAAAATAAAGTGCATAAACAATGGACACAACCTTTAAGCAGAGCTATCAAATACTGGACCTGCAAATACTTTACACTGACTTCATTAGCCCTAAATGGAAACTGCTTGAAGGCCTAGATTTCCTTGTCCTGGCTACAAAAATCAACAACAAAAGATATGTTCTTGCATGCAAGGAACTGTAATCCTATGTTCAGATAAGAAGGTAGTGGGTCATAAAACAAAATACTCACTTTAAGAATCGTGGACAACACTCTAATAAACTCGTCTTTCAAAACAAACCCGTTTAAAATTTAGTCTTACAAAGTTTCAGTCATGACAATTAGTTAATTGGTTGGCCTTAGATTCAAAGGGAGTGAAGTATAAAAACTGGGATGTCTCACTAAAAAGTATAAAAGGCACTAGGCAGTCTACATCTGGAATACTATGACTAGCTATGATCCCCTGGCATTGGAGACAGTCTAAAGTAAGTTCACTAGGTTGATCCTGGGTAAAGAGGGATTTTCTTATGAGAAAGTTGAGTAGGTTGGACCTGTAATCTTTGGAGGCTAGAAGAATGAGGGGAGACCTTATTGAAACATACATGATTCTTTTGTTGGGGGTGGGGGGAGGCTTGACAGGGTAGATGCTGAGAGCTTGTTTCACCTAAGACCAGAGGGCATAATCTCAGAATAAGGGGTCACCCATCTAAGACAGAGATAAGGAGAAATTTCTTCTCTCAGAGGACAGTCAATCTGTGGAATTCTTTACATCAGAGAATGGTTGGGCCATTAAGGGTAAAGGGAAAAGGTTGGAAAGACGAACTGAGGATTATCTGCCATAATCTCATTGAATAGTGGAGTAGACTTCTGAATGTCTTTTTGGTTTTGATTAATAAAATTATAAAAAGGGACATCACGGAAGATTTCTTCCTATAGAAAACTTCACATCCGCACTCCAGAAAATCATGGGTTATTTAAATTCAAACATCAGGGTAGTTCTCAGGAAGAGTTAATGCCTTTTTATACAGGCTACATCAAGTCATGGCTGTGTCAACTACATCTTAAATTTATGAATCATCTATGATGTAGTAAGACATTAAATCCACTTCACAAGAGCATAATCAGATAAAAATTAACAAAGCTATGTAATGAGCTATCAGAAGAGTGGGAGGTGCGGGTGGGGACGAGGATGAAGACATCAAAAACTCGGTCAAAGGGCAGTCAGAAAGGAGGAAGGGAAGACAGAAAAGTTTAAGGAAGAAATTCTAGAGCGCAGAGGTGAGGTAGCTGCATGTATGTGTGTCAATACTGAGCAATGACATCAGGGATGTATGAAAAAGTCTGAATTAGAGGAGGGCAGAGATCTTAAGAGGGTTCTAGGAGGTTACAGAGATATTGAGGCGCGAGGTCTTGGAGTTTGAAGGATGACAGTTTTAAATTGAAATATTGCCAGTTTAAGTCAACAAATGTGGGTTTCACAATGAGCTTGGTTAGTAATTGTATTCATTTTTTTAGTATTAATCTAATTCTATTTTAGAGCAAGGGCAACCTTACATCTAGATGAGGCTATGAAGATGCTGAAAAACATAGTGGTACCTAGATTACATTGTCCCATCTAACCAGTTGTTATGTTGCAACTGTCTATAATGTGATGTCCATAATGTCAAGTGACAAATTATTTGCATTCCATTAAGTTGATGGTAGCACATAGCTGAGACCATACAAACAAGATGTCTGTCTCATATATTCTATTCAGGAATTCTAAACACTGTATAATAGATTACACATAAATACTTCTGCACCAACTAGTTTCATTGGTTGGAATATTTCTGCAGAGAATTGTATTGGTTGTACTCAAACTTGGTGCACTGTTTGAACACTAATTTAAAATATGATTGAATAACAACAAAAAAATGGCCTTTGGTCTTGGTCTTCTTTGCCTCAAAACAATAAACATATCCCAGGTAAGGTAAAGTTCTGTTTATATTTCAGTAACTAAAATTTCTTACTTTAAGTGAAGCTGTTCCAAGAATGGAATGGACAATAGCAGAGCAGCAGTGCATGCATTTGCCTATAATGACCAGAAAAATGAATACTGAAAGCAGAAGTTAGGCGAGGGAGAAGAAAGCTGCAGGAGGTACAAATAATTTTGTCAATTGGGCAGATATCTGCAGGTCAGTGAGTTACCAATAGGCAGACCCTTGTTGCTACAGGGAAGTGACCAAATGTCAAAATTTACCATGCTGTGAATTAATTTGTCTTGATCTTTTGATCTGAAATATTCATTGCATGGGCGAATTGGAAAATATTAATCTTTATCAAACTTGATAATGCCACAGCAGAGGTTTTCAGAAAGTCTCATTAGAGGAGGAGAATCAGCCCAGTGGTGAAAGATGGCACCTTAAATGTTGATTGGGTCCAGTGCAGATGGTGGCAAGGCAGTGGAGAAGGAATGGCGGCACAGGCATTCTTGATGATGAGCTGGCTCAGGACTCATGCACTCTCTTCAAGGTATTTTTTTTTCTTATTCTTAAAACTATTCAAAATGGTGTTGGATCGTGGCGTCAGTGGAAAAGTATTTTACCGTTTTACTCACTGTAAAATACATGTGACAGAAATAATCATTCATTCATACCGATTTTTATTTTCATTCATGGGATGTGGGCATCATTGGCTTAGTCAGCATTTTTTTGGCCTATCCTTCATTGCCTTTGAACTGAGTGGCTTACTAGGCCATTTTAGAGGGTGTTAAAAATCAACCATATTATTGTGGATCTGGAGACCCATGTTGTCCATAGCAAGTAAGGAAAACAGATTTGTTTCCCTAAAGGACATTAGTGAAACAAATGGGTTTTTATGCCAATTGACAATGGTCAAATGGACATCATTAGTCTAGCTTTTGATGCCAGATTTTTAAATAAATTCAAATTTTACTATCTGCCATAGTGGGATTCGAACAAATGTCACCAAAACATTAGCCTGGGTCCCTGGAATACTAATCCATGAGATTCCACTATGCCACCATCTCCCTGCTAAATTATTGTTTCACTAATATTTGCAAATATATGCAGTTTACAATACTTTGCATACATTGGCAAATACATCTATTGTTTGGCATGTCAGTTCTACGAAAGAGAAGCAAATTGGATGGCTAAAACTGAATCGATTAGAAAAGAGATTTATCCACATTATACAGTTAAGTCTCAGCTCCACATCAGAAATTACAGGAGATTTGAAACAGATTAGCAGAGATATAAAGTAATCATTCCATTTGTGCAATGCTGCATGAAAACACTATCCTGATAGCCTCTAAATTAAAGCTACAGCATGAATCTTTCGTCCTTATATTTACCTAAAGTGTGAAGAAAAAAACAGCATCACCTTCAGCTTACCTTTCATCCCCAAGGGATTTTGTTTTAAAAACAATATTGGCAATGTCAGCAAACAAACTCATTCACATGACAGCACTCCACGTGACTATCTTCCATGTGGTAGAGGTGTTGCATTTGGAAATGCTATTGAAGGAGGCTTGATGAGTTGCTGCAATGCATTTTGTTGCCCCGATTGATGGTCTTGGAGAGAGTGTATGTGTAAGATGGCGGACAGGTTGCTAATCATGCAGGATATCATGCCCTGGATATGCCTCTCGAGTGTTGTTGGACCTCATCCAGGTATATTGTTAAGTTACGCCTTATAATTGGTGCACAGGCTCTGAATACCAGCAGGTGAACTACTTGCATTAAAATTTCCAGTTGCTGACTTATTCTTGTAGCCACAACATTTACAGATATTTTCTCATTAATCTAATCAACAATATTACAACACACCTCTGAAGCAGGTAGGATTTGAACCCAGGCCTCCTGGTTTAGAGGTAGAAAAACTAACATTGCACCACAAGAACCCTTTCACAATATTTGTATAGTTGACCCAGTTAAAATTTCTGGTCAGTGGTAACATTCAGGATGTTGATGGTGGGGAATTTAGCAATGGTAATGCTGTTGAACGAGGAGGAGAGATGGTTAGATTTGTTTTTGTTGGAGATGGTCTTTAATACCATGTAAGTGCCAGACAACATTAATCATCATGAACATTTGCAAAAAATATTCCAATTTTTGAACAACTTTTTTTTATTTTATGAGCCACACTATTTTCCTGGCTAAAAGTTATCCCATGACAAGGGGAGACGGTGGAACAGTGGTAATGTCACTGGGCAAGAAATCTAGAAACCCTGTTGTAGCGAAATGGGTTCAAATCCAACCATGGCATGTCGTGAAATTTGAATTCAATATAAATAAATAAGGAACTGGCCTAATTATGACCATGAAATTACTGTCAATGGTGATAAAATCCCATCCAGTTTACTAATACCCTTTAGGGAAGATCAGTCTTCCTTATTGGGTCTGGCCTTCATGTGATCCCAGTCTCTTAAATTACCCTCTGCTCAACTAGGAACTGGTAATAAATGCTGGTCTAGTCAGTGATGGAGGCATCACTTGAACTAATGAAAAACGCTGTTAGTACAACTGTATACCTAGTTGTCAGATGGTTTGCTGGAGCCTACCAGGCT